GAATTCACGATGTAATTCATAAACCAAGATCAAATTCAACAAATTCGCCGTTTTTCAACACATGTAATCATGACTTTGAACAATTGTATATATGGTTTTTGGAAAACTAATCAAATACGTTGTAATCCTTTGACTTCGTCAAATGTTTTCCAATCAATAACTTAATGTGTGCACCGTCCACAATATGGTAGCGCTAGTATCCGTTCACAACAAAATAAGTCAATAGTGTTGCGCTCTTTTTGAAGCTGTGATTTGTAAAGTTGTTTTATACCTCCCGGATGAATCTGGGCAATGCCAAAATTTTACATTTCGAGTAAAAGTTCTATAAGGTTGAATTACAGCACTCGTAAAATTAAAAATAGTTAAATCATTCTTTCATTATTTATTACTTTAAACATGTTTTGATTTTTGTTATGAATGTGTAAACGAAATAAAACGTGTGCATTCTATACTTCTAATCGTGTTTGAGTTTACAGACAGGATGCATCAAGTTGCGAATAAAAATAAGGGGGGAAAAAAAAAAAAAAAAAACAAAAACAGCCGACAGCATGGCGATTCACGAGAGTATTTTGTTTCTATCATTATATTTATTCCCTACATTAAAATAATCTCATTTTTCGCACGCTTACGTCATCTGTGTCTTACTAAGTACATATACAATGTACTAAGAGCAACTACTTTGAAGATTGCATTAACCTCAAATATTCTCATGATAAAAAAGTATTGATAATGATTAATGAAAACCCTGCTTTGAAGACACGGCAATAAATTCAAACATCAAAGAGGAGTTGTCTCCCAGAACCTTCGGGATAAAAATCGTGAACAACATAAGAATATTAGTGTTAAAGACATGAGACGAACTTGAACAACGAAGAAAGACGGATGATTTTTTTCACTGTTCATATATATGACACTAGTGTTTGTAACCGGTATATTCGGAAATACTGTAGTTTATATATTTTTAATAAATCTTACACGCGTTCCACATTTCGCATATATCTCTCTTCAGTGGATCTCCTGTCGTGTACATTTGGTATTCCCATAGAAATAGTTGCCTTAATATTTGGATTAAAGAATGTAAACTCTTATTTGTGCAAGGCACTGGTATTTTTTACAGCATTGCCTACAGTAATATCTGTACTTCTTCTTCTTGCAATTTCGTTTGAAAGATACAGGAAAATTTGTCGGCCTTTTATATGGCAAATTACAAATAAAGCTGCCAGAAATATTTTCATTTGTTCTGTGTTTGTCAGTTTCGCTTGTTCAGCATTAAGATGTGTCACATTTGGTTCTCGACCGACTGCCTTTGAAATGTATAATATAACTATATTTACATGTGACGTAACAGAAGACATGGAGAAGTCAGTTATAGCTATTGTCACACCCAATCGTGAACATATCTTTTACATTTTTGTTCATTTGTAGTGTTTATAGTCAAATAACATCAAGATCTAGGAGCTGATTATAGATCAACAATCTACTGGAATAGATAAATCATTTATCATTTGTGTAATAACGTTCCAAATGACTGTTTATTCTTAAGTATATTTAATCTTTTTTTTTTAATTTACGTGTTAATTTACAAATGTTAGCGTTATATTTCAGTTGACGTTTACAACTATTTCATTCAATTTGTTAAATTGTGTTGAAAAAAAATTCAAACAATTCTAACGTACTAGAATATTCATATGATCATGTACTATTACATGTACTTATCAAAATAAACATTTGTCATTTTCTTTTAAAGTTAAGCTAGTTTGAGGGAGTCTAGAATGGTTTAATGTTTATATATATTATCAATTTCACAAAAAGTAGTATTTTATTGTCATTGTTACAATTGTTTTGACAATGTATTATACATTCATAAACATATTGAACTGGTCTTTGTATTATAAAATTATAGATCTTAAATGTTGCCTGTCTTTTCAGTTCGTCTTTTGACAGCCCTCTGTGATATACAGGCTTCTTAACTTCTACCCTTCTATCAGGAACCTAATTCCGCTCTTCATATTGCACGTAGCAAGAAATTGTCACATTGCAGATAGTATATAATTACCGTCGTATGACACATAATTATGTTGATGTTTTAATTTTTAAAATAAAGTAACATTATAAAGTTTTCATGAATAGTTTTAATTCAACCGGTGCTTGAGAGACACTTAGTCCATCCTGCCAATCACTTAATTGTTGTGCCAAATAAACAATAGCAGCATTTCATTTTCAACGGGGTTTGTGATTTGGAAAGAAATTGTTATACATTACATTACGTAGAGCGCATTCCAATATTAATATTAAAGTTCACATAAATATATATACGTATATAATATATATGTTTTACTCATGAAAGGATTGTATTTATTCTATTATATTGTATTATAACTCCACTTTTCAGACAGGTTATTTTTAACAAAAATCAGTTATTGCAACAGGTTATTTGAAATCTGTATTTGAAAGGTCCATGCCATTGTCGACACTCTGTAACGTGGTAAATATTGCTTTGTGTGATATCTTACATTATAATAGTGTGACTTTAAAAAAAAGATATTGTGTATACAAATATAATGTAAGAAATTCAGTTTCTGATAGTCATCAAAATCATAACTATATTTATTATATACTCATCAATGAAATATTGAGAAATATTGATGAAATAAAATGCATATTTTCATTTTCCGTATTTTCACTGTAAAAATTTATTTTTCACTGCAGTGAAACATATTTTCCGTATGTTCACTGGTGTCTTGACGGACTACTTTCTTTTAAATTCTGCCAGTACACAAAATTTAAGGGAAAGTCTTTTAAATTTTAATGTCAAAAAAGAGAAAAATGTATATAATAAACAGAAAATTCAAGTTTTTTCTATAAATACATGATTTATTTTCATCTTGTGGCATGAAAATTACCATATTTCACTCGTGGCTGCCGCCACTCATGAAATATTTATTTTCATACCACTCGATGAAAATAAATCATGTATTTATAGAAAAAACTTGAATATCCTCTATTTATTTATCGCATGTATAAAGGTATAATTTTCATTAAAATAGAGTATTTAAAGAACCAATATGCCCCATATTTTCTGATGTTAGAAGTTTGATATATGGAAACGTTTACATGTGCACATGGAAAAAATGGAAAAATTTGCTAAGAAAAGTTTGAATAACTAAATTACTGATATATATTTAATTAAATTAAAAAAAGTATACTATGTATATTGTGATTACTGTAATTTGTGATATGTATTCATAAATGCATAATATATTTTATGTTGGAATGTAAGACTTGTGTTTCTGTTTTTTATATAAAATACTTGATAACAAATAACGACTTAAAATGATTTCATTTATTGTTCAATAGATCTGTATCTATTAAATTGTATATAATAATCAAAATTGTAAAAAAAAACCCATTTATATTGTCTTTATGCAAATTCTTTTCTTCCAAAGAAACGTCTTTTTTGGTCGAAACGTCCAGTCAATAAAAGGGGCTTTGGTGTCTAAGGGGTCTAAGTGTCATGGGTTGAGGTGTCTAAAGGGTCGAGATGTCATAGAGTCCTTGGCAGTAGAGTGTAGACGACTATAGATTCGACATACTATTGCTGTCATTAAACTGTTCCACTGAAATCGGGTCTACGCATTTTTGAAAATTTTATTTTATTTTCCTGTTAAAATTTGTTTCTAATAGTGCCATTTTTTTGACTGTGCACATTGCAGTCACTTTTGACTATATGCCTATAATTGGTTTGATACTGTTCTCCAACATTGGGTTGCCTTAATGCATCTGTTTCGACTACACTATAATTGACTAAAGGACTTATTAGCTTTATTCCATGTACATTATATTTTTTTTTATATCTCATATCGACTTAAAACTTAAAAGTTTTATTTCGTTTACATTGTATTCACTTTAGATCTCTTTTGACTTCACTGCAACTGACTCTTTATCTCCCTTTGGCAGACTATTAATTTACTTCTATAGCGGATATGAAATAGTGTGTTAGCTTTAAAAAGTTGCCATTTACTTCATCTCAGTATATATACTTTTCTGGTCCTCCGAGATCAATGATTCGAACGTTTTCAGTGTTCAGAATTAATTACCGCTTAATACGGTGCTATAGGGCGTTAGAGATGTTTCTGTTCTTTTTTTCCATAATTTCAATAAAATTGAATCTGCAACTTGATATTTGTTGTTGTTTTTATTTACATCGAGGGATCTGTACTTACCTCAACTTTAAGATAAGTGTAGTCATTTGTTTCTCCAACTGAATGGACAAATAAGTGAACATGAAAATAACGAATTTACAAATACAGTGTCCGACATATTCTTTATTTACTAAGACTTAACCTTACAACATTGAATATACATAATGCTTTCTCCAATCAAAATAACAGATAAGTTTTTTTCAAGACATGTATTTTTTGAATATGGTACATGTAATAATAGATGAATTCATATTTTTTTATAATCATTCTAAAGTCCTGTCGTTTCTGTTGTTTATCAGAACGTCATAAAAGCTACAGTATTTAAAGCATAATTCTCTTCTTCTTAGGTCATTGTGGTTTAAAATCAATGTTTTCTCTAATAAAGTAAATGCAGCCAATACATCACGGCAAACTTTAAAAATTCAAACCAACTTATATGCCTCAATAATCTGATTCATATTTTATGGTTCTGAAAAACAAATGAAATGTTATTTCTATAATAAATTTTACAAACTTGTCTTAATAACTCGTTGTTTTTAACTTAAACATACATTTATAATCATATTATCTCAAAATAATACATAAATTTATGCTATTGAAATTATTTTGACATTACTATATGGTATTAATTGTTTGTAGCGCAACATGAATGATGTTCTATTATCAGACAAGTACACAAATTCACACATAATCTATAGCTTATGAATATTTCGAAGAACACAATTATTTAGTAATGTTGAGACCATGCATTTTAAAGACATACTCATATCTGTTTAAATAAAAGCATAATAACTAACAAGTGCATCCTTCCTTGTTACACGATGCTCCTGCGCCAGTGTACATGTTTTCCACACACTCTTCCTCGCCATTAAGCAGTACAGTAGGTATTGTGCAAGTTCGTGATCTACTTTTAACACCTCCGCCACATGTAACACTGCATGTACTCCATTCTGTCCACGTGGTCCACATGTAGGAAACTTTATATCCATAAAGAAAAGGGTAAAATATAAAAATTGGTGGTCAGTACTTTTATTATAATACATGATGGATAGTCTTTTGTGGCATCAGATCACTCATTAAATAATATAAGATTTTCAGATAATTTTCTATACAGAATATTTTCATAAAGTTTGTTTATAGTCAAAGTGTTTTTTTATGTTTCGTATCAACAATATGGCAAAATAAATACAAATAATAAGGGTATTTTTTTGGAAATGTTTATCTTCCTGTTAAATTCTTAAATGTGCGCCTTTAAATAAGTGTTTTATTTGAAAATAAGCTGTGGGTTGCATAATGTTTTGATTTAGTGAGCATGCGTTGTAAAGATGAGCTGTGAATAATAATAAAAAATGCACGAGAAGATAATATACATGATATGATAAGGTTACTAACTTATATCATTATGATAGTAATATTTTAAAACTTTTAATCAGGGATATTTGTTCATAACTCTCGAGGTCTCTTGACAGGGTTAACAAACAACGGTTAATGATTGGTAACTGACTGCTCAATTCTACTTTACTGTATCATTTTTTTTATTTTTTAAGCAAAGACGTTATATGTACAGTTACTTAAATTTGAACAATACGTTTAATTTTAAGTTATATAGGTCTTATCTGTTCAAAAGTGTTAAATAATTTTATCAAGAAAGTGATTTTATAGGTTAAGAATATGTTGCTGTTCGGTCTAAAATTAAATGGCTTTAAGTAAGAGAACATTGCTAATATATTCACTGTTAAGCAATACCAAAAAATCCTTTAAGTCTTTTAGAACAAGCTTATTTTAGTTGTTATAGGCATATGAATAGGAAATGAGAAGAGAGGTAACTCTGTAAGCTATGTTGGAAGTTCGTCCAGAGTTGCCTCCACTCTGTTATGTTACTTTTACAGTCTCTTGTAATTCTGATTAGAATAGCGGTACACAAACAACTTTTATTTTGTAAAATGGTGTTATTGAATTGTCTTAATGTTGTCATGTATGAATGAGACTCAAAGAAAGATATCATTCATAAATGAAATATTTTTGGAAATGGGCTATGGTGTGAGAGTAAGTATTAACAAAAGGACAACGGTTATCAGTGAAGGACATGGGCAGTTAAACATAACTTTATAAACAAATACGAACACGAAAACATACAGCAAAAAGCGTTATATAGACAATGTAAACTTGGCCATATTAAACATTTCTTATGCATTTACCATTTGTTATTATCAACATTTATGCTAGAATTAGAACAATAAAATATCATTTGTTAAACATATATTTTTTTTGTATTTTATCCGTGCAGAAAAGCCCGTTTTCTTAGAATAACAAGTACTGATGTCACATTATCGTAAAGTCATGCGGGTAACTAATCTTCAGAATGAAAATAAACTGCATGATGTAAACTTACTCTTACTGGGGATGCATTCAGTGAATGTACTCCATTCTCCGGTATAAAGGCATTCAGCGAGTGTACCAACCTCAGCATTTTGTTCAATATACCCTACGTTACATTTATACCGTATTCTTTTCCCAATGTCTCTCTGATTTCCAAGTATAAGCCCGTTTTCAGGAATCGTTATATTGACGCATTCTGAAACAATAGGAGAATTCGAAAAGACATTAACAGATGAACATAATATTTTACAACACAGATAAATTGAAATATTGAAACACATAAATGAATCAAATAAGCTATACTTGTAAAGCTATAATAGGATTTTCTTTTTTAGGGGTTGGTGGGGGGGGGGTGGGGTTGGTGAACGCGAAATAATTAGTGCTTTCTATGCAAGTTGTCCATCACATGCACACGTTTTACCTTTGATAACACAAGTGCCTACATCAGACTCCTTCGTTTCACAAACCTCGCCATACTTGCAATTATCCTGACACGGAGACTGAAAATAAAATAAAAAGTATATCTGTCGAAGCAAACCACATATTGATTATCATATCCTCGTGAATGCTACATTTAAATGCAAAGTTGTA